CATTTCCAAAATATTGCGCAGCCATGGAAATGTGACATCAATAAGCGCAAGGTCTAAACCTCCTGTTACATTATTAAATGGACTGTATAGGTAAGATTAATTTAATAATTCTGTTTAGTATTGCTGTTTCAATTATATTTTGTTTTTAAATTCTTTACATTTCATGTGTGAACTAATCAAATTATTTTATTTTAATCTAAATAGACCAGAATTAGAATCATCAGGGCATGAATTATCAACGATAGTGGAATTTGATACAACGGATACAGTTAATAAAAGTAGTAAGAGCCCAGCAAAATCTAAGCCATCTCTTCACGTTGCTCCTTTACCTGTTCAACAAAATCAAAATTTCTCAAAGAAACCGGCAGATTTGTTATCTAATGTAAAACATTCTATTGAAAAGCTATCTTTTGCACAGAAATCACAAGAAACTATTTGCAATTCTCCCGAAAAATTAAAAAGTATGGCTGATTGTATTACAGAAACAAAAACTGATGCTGAAAGGGAGTATATGCTCGAAAAATGTAATAAACAGTTACAATGTAATACAACTACAGAAGAACTTGTTTCTCAAACAAAAGATAAACTTGGTTCTTCCATAACTACTGATTTTAATAATAAAGAAAGTAAACATAAAATGACGTCTACAAGTGTGTACAGTTTTTCCGGATTATCTGGTATTTCCGAAATAACTAGTTCTCCATCATCGGATGTGTTAAAACATACCTCATCGCCAGAAGAAATGGAAACGGCTTTGAAAAAATTAGGTTTAGGTTGGGCAGTCACGACGCTAAAGAAAACTCGAGAAGCAAGTGCTCTTAGTTCATCTTCAAATTCGGATGTTACACCAATAAATACAGCTAGAAGGATGATTTCTCCTACTAAGAAACAACATGATTCAAATGGCTTTCCAGATATTAGTGATGTATCATCGATATCAATCAAAGAAGCTAGCAAGAGTACCGAGCAAGCTGTACTCTTAAAAGGAAGGACTTCCACGCCTAAATTCCAAAATTCAAATTCCAACAGTGAAAGATCCAGTACTACAAATACATCTGAAAGCGTTCAAGATCCAAGTGACAGTTTAACTGTACCTAATGTGTCACTTACAAAAACAAAATCTGATAATAAGCAACCACAAAATCTTTGACAGAAATTGTTTTATATGTATATATATATATATAATTTTATTATTTACTTATTTAGAGATGTATACTATTGTATTTGATTTTTTATGGACAATTAGTTGTAAAATAGGATATTCTCACATATGTGAGATCATTTTCGTTGACGTATAAATAATTTTTATTTTTTATTTTTATCTTGAACAGTACACGATTGTTATAATAAATAGTACATTTATGTTTTCATTACAAGCAGCTTAAAATTAGAGAAGACAAAGAACCATACATTATTCCTAAATATCATGAAAATTCATAAAATGTTAAGATGACTATAGCTTCACATATATTGCTTAAGTTGTATTAACAAGATAAAATATTACAAAGCTAACGCAATTTCTTAATATCTTATAATTATTTTATGGAACGTTTATATGTAAACTTTTTTTTTATTTTAAATTTCATTCGAGAAATGATTACATTTCTAGAAATGAAATAATTATTGATTCTATCAGTTTTACATTATCATTACAAACCGCGTTCAGAAACTTTACTTGGGTGTACCCAGATATCATTTTATCCTTATTATTTATCGAATGTTCAACAAAGATGAAGTGATACTTGGGTGCACTTGGAGGTAAAATTTCTGAACACAGCCATAAAAGGAAATAATCGAAATGATTGAATATTATGAATTATAACTATCGTGTTCAGATGGACAATATTTTCTAATAGCATAGAGAATACACATTGAAATATAAAGAAATACATAAAATAAGGAATGATATAATCATATACATAAAATTAAAAGACTGACAGTTTGTAATTCTAAACAAGAACGATTTTTAGAAAATGTTTGATGTGTAAAGTAGAAAAGACATATAAGATAATTTAAAAAAAATAGAATATATATATATATATA